TGATCCAGTTGAGGCCGAGGGAGAGTTTTGTCAGCACGATGGCGTGGTGATGGTGATGATGAAGTTACCGGCGCAGGGCTTCGCCTAAGTACTATGACGATATGACCGAGGTGTGTAACTATGGAGGGGGGCACCGCACACGGATAAACAATTGTTAACTTGTGTCTAAGGTGTGCCCCCTCCCCCGTATATAAAGGAGTGGAGGAGAGGGAGGGCCGGCCCTCTATGGCGCGCCTAAGAGGGGAGTCCTACTCCCAGCGGGAGTAGGATTCCCCCTTCCCAAGTTGGAGTAGGAGAGGAAGGAAGGGGGAGAGAGAGGGAAGGAAAGGGGGGGCGCCCCCCCACCCAATTCGGATTGGGCTTGGGGGGGCTCCACCTAGCCGCCTCCTCCTCTCTCCCACTAAGGCCCAATAAGGCCCATACACTCCCCGGGGGATTCCGGTAACCCCCCGGTACTCTGGTAAATGCCCGAACTCATCCGGAACCATTTCGATGTCCAAACATAGTCGTCCAATATATCAATCGTTATGTCTCGACCATTTCAACACTCCTCGTCATGTCCGCGATCACATCTAGAACTCCGAACTACCTTCGGTACATCAAAATACATAAACTCATAATACCAATCGTCATCGAACGTTAAGCGTGCGGACCCTACGGGTTCGAGAAATATGTAGACATGACCGAAACACGTCTCCGGTCAATAACCAATAGTGGAACCTAGATGCTCATATTGGTTCCTACATATCTATGAAGATCTTTATCGGTCAAACCACATAACAACAGACGTTGTTCCCTTTGTCATCGGTATGTTACTTGCCCAAGATTCGATCGTCGGTATCTCAATACCTAGTTCAATCTCGTTACCGGAAAGTCTCTTTACTCGTTCCGTAATACTTTATCCCGCAACTAACTCATTAGTCATAATGCTTGCAAGGCTTATAGTGATGAGTATTACCGAGAGGGCCCAGAGATACCTCTCCGAAACATGGAGTGACAAATCCTAATCTCGAATTCTCGATCTATGCCAACCCAACAAACACCTTTAGAGACACCTGTAGAGCACCTTCATAATCACCCTTTACGTTATGACATTTGGTAGCACACAAAGTGTTCCTCCGGTATTCGGGAGTTGCATAATCTTATAGTCTGAGGAACTTGTATAAGTCATGAAGAAAGCAGTAGCAATGAAACTAACACGATCATAATGCTAAGCTAACGGATGGGTCATGTCCATCACATCATTCTCCTAATGATGTGATCCCATTCATCAAATGACAACACATGTCTATGGTTAGGAAACATAACCATCTTTGGTTAACGAGCTAGCCAAGTAGAGGCATACTAGGGACTATATGTTTTGTCTATATATTCACACATGTACTAAGTTTCCGGTTAATACAATTCTAGCATGAATAATAAACATTTATCATGAATTAAAGAAATAAATAATAACTTTATTATTGCCTCTAAGCCATATTTCCTTCAGCAGACCGTACAATGACGCAGTAAAAAAGAAACTGTTTGCTAGGCAGTAGGCATACAACGCACCGGGCTGCGTTGTTGACCGGCGCGAGCGAACACCACAACCACCATGCGAATGAGGCCACCAATCTTCCTCGGACGCACGCGAGAGCAGGCCGCCGCCCCCACCGTTCCAGTCGGCCCCCACCGCTCCTCCTCTGCTGGATGCGAACGCAGGCCGCCGCCGCCACCGCCTCCGGTATTCACCGACGTGCCACAACCTCAAGATATCGCCTGTGATGACCCGAGCGACACGGGGTAGGAGGAGATGGCCCCTCCCATCCTGTCACGCTTCCCGGCCCTGCAGCGCTGCGCCGCGCCGCGCCTCTCCTCCCTGCCGTGCTCCCTCGTCATCCAGACCCTAGCGCCATGCGTACATGAGGAGGGCGTTAAAGAGGATGTCGAGGTGTCTCGAGCCACTTCAGGATTTCCTTCATCTGCATCCTCCATGTAAAGGTATACACGTTCTCCTATCTAAACTTGGTCGTGTATAAGATCAGGAACAAGCAATTTGGCTTCCAGCAAAGTAATTCTCTTTTATGTTTCTGTGATTTGATAATACAAACACACAAGGGTATCTAGATCCGCTGGTGGTTGACGATGTGTTTCTGCCTTTAATAAATTCACACATGCAATTCTTGTAGATTGATTGAACTGCTGAACTAAGTGGATGGAGAAAATGAGTTCATTTCTCAATTAAAAGACTGCCATTTAGCATGGCGTTAAGGTCCACTATTCTATACTCCCTCCGTTCCGATTTACTCGTCGTGGTTTTAGTTCAAATTTGAACTAAAACCACTAAAACCACGACGAGTAAATCGGAACGGAGGGAGTACATGTGACAGATTTCAAGAATAATGAGGTTTCATGTAGACATGTTTCATTAGTGATAGCAGCCTCTTGCTTCTTTATGTTAGGTTCAAGTTGAGTAAATATTGATTGATCTCTTATGTAGGTGCTCGCCTTGTCTCCACGATACAATACTGAGGTTGAACTATAGTATTGTGTCACTAAATTGAAGTGCATACTCCCTGCTCCACTGGAAGCTACATCTGAAGATGAAGAGCAAGCTGAAACGACGCTATGATCATGTTAATGTTCGATCTTGTGTTAGATCCAGGACTAATTCGTTGGTGCATGTTAGTGTTGAGTGTCTAACTGGTCGTGTATCTGTCATCACTACTTACTTATTAATAGTTCGATGTGCTAGTAGACTTCTTGGATATAGGTTAGCAGATATGTGGAGCTGTTACCCAACATTAGCCCTTCAGAACTGAAATACAATGCCAACCAACTATGTTTTTCCCTTTTAGTTAAACAAATCTCATAGTATAAGGCAAAACCGACTATTTTTTTCCTTTGGTATTGAAATGTTCATTTTTGTTTTGCTCGATATATGTTGATGCTCACTTCATTCTGCTACAATTTTCCTCATGAAGCCTTGCGTTGATGTTGATGCCTATTTGTAGATATGTATTCACCATTCGTTTTCTTCTATAAAACTTCACTATTACTCCTACCTTCGTAGTCATCTGCTAAACTTTTAGTCAAATAGGGTTTTGTTAGTTCAACATTTCTTTTTGGCGGGCTACAAGAATGGAGGTTGTGTGGGAAGAGATTGTTGTTGCTGAAGGCCAACTATTGTTGTTCTGTCACGCTGCTATTGAATATGGAACTACCTATCCAAGCTCATCAAGCACAAATAATTTTTTTCTTCATAGTTCACTTCTCATCGGGAGGGGCGTTTTGGCAACGGTAACGCGAAAAAATATAGTAAATGTTTTCAAAAAATTCTGAAATTCCTTGTGGATGTTAGTGTTAGTGTCGCAAACATGCTTGACAATTTTCATGCGGAACGGAATAGCAGTATTTCATCGGTGAAAAAAAAACAAATTTGGGGTGACATTTGTTTTGCCTCAAAATTTGTAGGTGGCATTTGGATGCGACAAACAACACAGAAAAAATGGTCTTGATTTTTTGACATTTCAAAAATTATTTTTGGGCCTAGGAGCACGTGCTCCCGGGAGCCGAATTGAATTTCCAACTTCTCATCTTGATACATGATGATGTGCTAAAATTTATTATTTCACTTATAATAATAGTACCATGTCATTTTTTTAGAACACTGCCAAGTCATTTATTTAATTAAATGGGTACATTACTATGTTGCTTAGAGCGGTTGTTCCCCTACTTCATCGAGTTGTGGCTCTTAGTGGCGTTGGTTGAGACGATGGCGTCAAAATAGAAAGAAGATTATGGAAAGTTGGACTTGTAAGAAAATAATCATATTACTGTAGATCTATAATAGATAGAAAGAAAAGAATAGTAATTGTAACTAAGTACTTGACTATGTTATTCCAGATTCGTAGAATAAGAAGGATACTATATTAGTCTGAAATGTGAATGTAGTAGCTTGTTTGGGAGGAAAATGAATTTTCGCATATTATTGTAACATTAGGCAATACGTGTTGCACATGCACGCTTACTAGTACTGGAAAATAAACGATAGCTACAATAGTAAATCGAGATAAAATGGCGCGAGCACAGCGCGGGATACAAGTCATGCCTTCAAACACAACTAGGATGGAAATCTTCCAAGGTGGATGGGAAAACGGGGCGGCGACTGTCACAAGGACTACGTTCGTCGATGCAGTACACCCAGGTGTCGAAGCCGAAACTCATGAAGAGACGGCGAGCACACTCGTCGACAGACACCAGCTTAATACAGGAAAATATGGTGTCCTATATTGGGAAGTCGATCCCTCCTGCTTCAGCAACTCAGATCCACATAACATCGGTAGTTGGGACACCAAACATATCAGGAATGAACACAGAGTACCTCTCCACCCACACCCCCGCTGGATCATATTGGGATTATACCCGACGTCCAAGTACACGCATGTGTATGTGTCCGAGTAGTACAATATATATGATATCGAGTACGATTAGTATTAGTACACATCGATTAAATTATTGGTTCACTTGCAAAAGTTTCACAATTTTGGTGAGAGAAGAGATCGAGGAAATGCCACGAAATTGTTACCTTAGGTACTTCTGTAACTGTCCATCGAACAATCGTAGAATTCTCTGTTGTTCATGTACTTAAATCTGGTACCCCTGGGATGTCGTAGTAAATTTTGTGAGAAGTTGGTAAGTTTACTCGAAGGCAAAGCAAGTGAGTGTTGCTGGGGTTGGCATTCAAAAAAAAAAGTGAGTGTTGCTGGGTGTGAAAGCTAACTGGGCCTTTAGTCTTGTGCTGGTCGCCTTCAAGGCCCCAGTGCTCACGCAGCCCATCTCCATCCACCATCTCGAGGTAGACGCAGACGGCCCGCTATCGACAGGAGAACATTTGCCTGGCGGAGAGCACCGAGCCTCATCCCACCACCACCACCAAGCGGAGGAGCCACCTGAGGACGGGCGGCGAGCGAGAGGGTGGCGGCCGGAGATAGGCGGCGAAGCGGGGTCAGGGCGAAGAGATGGCGTTCACCATGCGCGCCGTGAAGGTTCCGCCGAACTCGGCGTCGATGGGGGAGGCGCGGCACCGCGTGTTCGACTTCTTCAGGGAGGCCTGCCGCGCCATCCCCTCCATCATGGAGATCTACAACCTCGACGACGTCGTGACCCCCGCCCAGCTCCGCGCCAGCATCTCCCAGCAGATCCGGAAGAACCAGGGCGTCTCCGACCCCAAGGTGCCCCCCCTTTCCCACTCCATTTCGATCCGCCCCTCGCAAATGGATAGTTGTAGAACGAAGAACGAGCGCGTTGCCGTCCTCTTCGATCCAGTCGCTGTCCGATCCTTCCGAGGGGGACGCTCTCTGCGGAAATCTGATGTATGTTTCTTTGGGGGGCTGGGAATCGCCGATGCATGATCGGTACGCCTTGTTGGATGGGTAGGTAGCAGTTGACCTTGCTGGTAATTTTCGCAGGATTACGGGCTGACAACTCCTTGTTTCTAGTGGCACTGCAGTGTGGCAACCCTGTCCTTCCAGGACTAGCAACCAGACTTTGTAGGTAGTATTTTGTCCACCTATGGGTCGGCCTGCAAGAAGGTGCTCACTGCCCTGGATTTCTGGATTAGCCAGAGGCTACAACGTCCGTAAAATGCTTATCTGTGCTTGTTTATATGCTGCTAAGAACCCGGTTCCTAGCTGCTGCTTTGTACTATATGGCAACTCGATGTTTTTGGGGTTGATTACCCATTGTGGAAGTAGGAAGGTCCTTATGTATTGTATTCAATTATTTAATTGTGTTCTATTGCTGCTTCTGCGCAAGAATAGGTGCCAAATTTCATTATATGCTTCACCACTGGCTATGTAAGTAGCTAGGCATGGTTATACAGTGTGGTTCTAGATCTGATGGGGGAAAAGCAGTTAACCGTAAATTAGACCAGTATCCTCCTAAATTGATTGACATTATTGACCACCAATAGATAACAGGAACCACACAATTTGTTCATACCTTCTAAGCTAAAACAAAACGTAGACCAACATTTGGTGCCTCCAGGTTCTAGAGTAGTATCACAGGCAGTGTAAACCATGAAATATAAGTTCCGTAAATTTCCAGCCTCTAGTCTCTATGAGCTACCTTATGATGTGAGGATACTTCGATATAGGACATAACTCTTAAGTTATATCAGAAGAAATCAAATGTATCATTTGAAATGAAATCATAATGGCTTCCAAATTTTGCAGTAGTTAATCATGTAACAATAGCATTATACCCGTTTCGTACAAGAAATGATTGACATATCAATCAGGATTTGTATGAGTATCAGACATGATGGAATAAGATATACTTCCTCCGTAAAGAAATATAAGAGCGTTTAGATCACTAAAGTAGTGATCTAAACGCTCTTATATTAGTTTACAGATGGAGTACATCCTTTATCATACACAAATTTCAGTCACAAAAATATAGCATTCACAACTACACAATGTTGGTTGCAAGTTAAGCTTGAGTCTCAAGGTAGATTCATATTTTGTAACAAGTCAACTAACTTGATTATCCTCCTGCTTAATCATATCACTAGTAACTTGGAGAAACCGAAGAATTGGGTTAAATTGGCATTCTTGAGGATATATTCACCAGCTAGAGTTTCAGTCCTAATTATTTTACTCCTGACTTTGGAGGTCTACCCAGGTTCATGGCAACTATGGCCCCATGGACAGACAACCAAGTTGTCTGCGAGCCAAGTGTTATAATTTCTATATGATAGTGTAATAATTTAATGATTTTTTATTGCTTTCACTAGAAGCTGTCAATCCTAGTCCATTTGGATGCACAATACTGTGATCTTCATCAAAAGGAGATTGTTTAATGCCAACTTGCTATCAGCTGTGTGCAATTGCGATGGAAAATGTTTGTACGTAATTTTCTGATATTTAGCTGGAGGTGTAACTAGATCATATTTGTGCTTACTGGGCTTGACCAGTTTGATTGAGTAAGAGTGCTCAAGTCTGGTTCCCAGCACTCATATTCGATCCATAACAATTTTGTTTTGCTATCCTATAGGCCTATTTTACTTAATTATCTTTTTGCCTCTCCTTTGGACAAGTAGCATGTGCTGACTTTAGTTGGAATTTGCATTGAATATGATTTGGTTCCTCGCCTGAACCTTGCACTCAACATTCTAAATTAATTTCAGGTTAGTGAGTAGGCATTTGGATTTAGGATTATTCTTTATTGTTTTTTATATTCCAGTGGACTTGGGGATTGAGTAGGAAGGATCGATAAAATATGTATTTAATTTTTCACCTACAGTTATAACAAAAATTCTGCCATCTTGGTGATACTAAGTTATATTATCTGTGTCCCTGCATCGAATTTGGGGCCAAAAGTTTGCAGAAACTTCAGTTTGCACTTATTGAACACCTTAATTTTGCCCTTTGCTAGAGTGCTTGTCAACACACTTCAATATTTCTATTCCGTACCATCTGTGGTCTGCATTATACAATGAGATCTCATATACAATCTAGCACTGGCCTCTGAAACATCTAGCAGCCATTCTCATATCACTGTAATGGCACAACAATGCCAGGAAAGCATTTCTATCTCCCTCAATCTGATTGTACATCTCTGCTAATTTGTGCTGACTTGCGTGCGAACAAACAGGTCATTGATATGCTTCTCTTCAACGGGATGGAGGAGCTGAACAACATCACCGAGCACGCGAAGCAGCGCCACCACATCATCGGGCAATATGTGGTTGGCCACAAGGGGCTGGTGCAGGACCTGGAAAAGGACCAAGGGAGCTCCGAGTTCCTGAAGAAATTCTACACCAGCAACTACTAGGATCCGAGGCCGCCACAAAAATTTCCAGCCTTCCTGTAGAAGTGCCCTTGACATGTACTCTGAATAAGACGCTGAGAAACACATCCGGCCCAATTTATTTTATTACTCTATGTTTTGCTTTGTTCGAGCTTGATTTGATTACTTGGTCATCTCTACTCAATGAGATGGTGTCTGCCAGTGAAACGGTTGTAACTCATAGACCCTGCTTCCCAAGCTCATGTTGAAGGATTGATGTCTTGCAGAGGCAAGATCGATGTGGATGTGGTGTTCATGCGTATCTTGGTGCTTCCTACGTGGAGTAAGTCCATGCTTGAGATCTTGATTCTGATAGAAGTATCATTCTATCATACTCCATTTTGTTCAATTTTGTTTTGGTTCCAATTGCCCCTTATTCAATCTATTTAAAAGCTGATTCTGATGTGCTTGCTCGCCAAACTGCACAAATCCCATGCACATCATTTTCTTACAAATATGCAAGGACACAACAATCTATTTTGCAGTATGAAAAAAAATGCAAATGCATTGCAATATTTCAAGCACATCGGAGCAACTTTTTTTAATGCATGAACAAATCCTTGTTGGTTGCGACAAATCATTGAGAAACATCATTTACAGCATATACTACATACAAAGCAACATGAATGCAACAACATGGAACAATTTTGTGGTATGAATGCAACAAATGCCTATGGTCATTGCAACATGTCGCCCATGTCCAACACAACATACACGAGCTTGTTGCTACCAAAACACCATACATGACATCAAAAAATATACAAACAAGCTAACCTTATAAAATCACAGAAAATAGATGTTGATGTCGTCGCCTTGGCCTCGCCGAGGACGAATCCATCTCGTCGAAGCACCACTGTCGCCGGAACTAGTGAGCCCAAACTCATTTCCCCGACGACTCGGCATCGCCATCTTTCCCTAGCTATGGCATGGTGGAGGGCTTGATTTTGAGGTCCAACTCAAGATTCAGCGTGAGGTTGTCGATGATAGTTGTTACCTTCACCTGTACAGGCAAGGAGCAATGGGCATTGGTAGGGGCAAAGGATGGCAGGGAAGAAGCATTGTGAAGAGCTATTTGTGGCAGTGACAAAGGAGGCACTGTGACAAGCTAGTGCTGCAACGGAGGCAGGAGATAGTGGGTTCCCATGGAAGCAAAGGACGATGGGCAACGTGGAGCAACGGATGGCGAGGGACTGAGGGAGAAGATGGTGGGGGAGAAATTGTATAGATAGGCTTAGCCCATGGCCCATGCCACCCCTTAGAGCTACAATAGTTATATATAGTAACTACCCCTAGAAAAATAAACCAATGAAACGTTTCACTGCCACACCCTAGGTCGTGGCCCGAGCACCGGGGCTTGGTTACACCCCTGGAAGGGAGAAAATGATACGGTGAGTGTTGTTGGCTTGTTGCTATGTAAGATGAGGCAAGCGATCGAGAGACTTGATCGGCAGACAAATTAGGTAATTTACCACGAATATTATGTACTCTCCTTCCCAAAATGTAAGGCACACTTGACTTTGCATAGTCTTTGATGTATGAATGACTCTTAATATGTACCAAAATAGTACCGTCGTATTTGTCTTGCAAAACAATTTTGTTTCATATTAATTTTTTCGAAATACAATAATTGAAATTCATAGTCAAAATTATGTGATGAAGACCAAAAGAAGAAAAGCGTGCCCTATATTTTGTGAAGGAGGGAGTATTGTTTTGTCTTACATCAATAATATAAGTAATCAACATAATCTAGAATAATGTGAGACAACAACTTCAAAAGAGGGTAAAAATGCCCAACCTCTGGATTGAACGATGCACACATCCCTCAATTAATTATTGCAAAGTTTACAAGTATCCATAAGTCTAAAAAGTATATGGAAAGCTAGAAAGGGCATATAGATTCCAACCAATCGCAAACAAGAAAATATGAGGCTTTGTGAGTCACACATCCTATTATTAGGTTGCTACACAACTCTGTTGGACAAACCACAAGCGGCCAACTACCAGACTCCCGATCCTCCTCGACATAGATAGGACCACATAGGGATCCAGAAAGTGGCTCTATGGATGACCTGCCATAAATGGAAAACTTCCATCTTTTTAAAACATAGACATTGCGACAATTCCATATTGCCCAAAGTAAAACACAAGCTCCCACCAGGATTTGCACTTTAACATAGAGTGCACCCCCATTCAACCAGTTACTGAGAGAATTCGTAATACTAGTTGGTGGCGCAAGTTGAATGCAAGATGAATAGAACATCAGAAGATCTCAGCAAGCGGGCAATCTAGGAAAAGATGTCAAATTGATTCCTCATTTCCACATAAATCACATTTGTGCAACCATGCCATCGTCACCTTTTGCGTTTGGTCATGATCACTCTCCTTCCAGATAGTACATAAATATATTTACTTTCAAAGGCACTTTAAGTAACGAAACCGTGATTAAAAGGAATGTCAATATAAATGAGATCGCGATACATTGACTTAACCGGAAAAGGGCCAGAATTTTCGAGTTTCCACCTGAAGGAATATAATCCAGTTGTTAGATTGACTATCACCAACCTATTAACCAAATGCAGCCAATCCACCCACTTCACTCCCGAGAGTGCCCGGCAAAAAATAAACATTTAAAGGAACACGTCCCAACATAAAGGCAACACAAACTTCACTCCGCTGGATGATATTGTAAATATAGGGATATTGAAAAGCTAGGGAAGCATCTCTCAACTATGTGTTCTCCCAAAATCTAATAGTATGTCCACCTCCACACCATGACGAGAAAAAACATTTTTGTATCTCGTCAAGCCTTTCTAGAAACGTGAGTTCGTTGGTTCAGCAGAGTCTGAGATAAAGTCCTGGAGTGCATGTATCTGTTTCTAAGTAACTCCTATGGGACTCCATCCTCAGTTAGCCACTTGTACAACCATTCTCTGAGAAAACACTTTATTCGTTGGTGCTTAGCTTCTATCAATTTTTCTCTTTTTATTCTGTACCTTTCTTAGTTGCATCTAGTGGGGTACTGTATTTTGATCTTCATTTTCTTTTCCTTTCGTACATTATTACACATAATTTCTTTGGACATTATAAAATGCGTATATATTTTGTTTCCAATTGTTTTTTCAAGCATTATATGTTTTGACATTATAGTGCACTCGAGCGTGGGCTCATCGAACAAGGAAACAGAACTATGCCTATAAAGTTCCGAAAGCAATTACACATAAATATGTTTTAGTACATTGCGTACTTGCAACTGTTTTTGGTAAACAATTTCTTCTATGTGGATAAAGTTGTTTTTCGACATGCCAATGCCAAAAGAAATCCGCAAAACTCTTTCTAGGAGGATTTTTCTTCTATGTGGATAAAGTTGTTTTTTCGACAGGCCAATGCAAAAAAAAGTACATTAAATCCACAAACTCTTTCTAGGAGTGTTTTCCTTTCATTTGCATATTTCTTGCTTGTATTTTTTTTGAGTGAACCACATCAGAGAGTGTTCCTACAATTTCATAATGAGGGACACAACGAAACTCTCTGCATGCGAGCTCCTTTAATTTGGTGGCGGCAAGATGAGGGGGGAGGGGGCTCCGTGCCCGAGCAGGTAGGGTTTCCCTTTAGGGCATCTCCAACAGCAACAACAACAGCAACAAAAACAACAAAAACAACCTAGAACTTGAAGACTGAAATGGACCGCCTCCTCTGGAACTGCCGCTGCAAAGGACCCATGCCCTCTTGTCCTAGTTCAAAGGATGCCGCACCGGCAGCCGGCAGCTCGGTGTTGGAAATATGCCCTAGAGGCAATAATAAAAGCATTATTATTATAGTTCCTTGTTCATGATAATTGTCTTTTATTCATGCTATAATTGTATTATCCGGAAATCATAATACACGTGTGAATACATAGACCACAATACGTCCCTAGTAAGCCTCTAGTTGACTAGCTCGTTGGTCAACAGATAGTCATGGTTTCCTGACTATGGACATTAGATGTCGTTGACAACGGGATCACATCATTAGAAGAATGATGTGATGGACAAGACCCAATCCTAAGCATAGCACAAGATCGTGTAGTTCGTTTTGCTAGAGCTTTTCCAATGTCAAGTATCTCTTCCTTAGACCATGAGATCGTGTAACTCCCGGATACCGTAGGAGTGCTTTGGGTGTACCAAACGTCACAACGTAACTGGGTGACTATAAAGGTGCACTACAGGTATCTCCGAAAGTGTCTGTTGGGTTGACACGGATCGAGACTGGGATTTGTCACTCCGTATGACGGAGAGGTATCTCTGGGCCCACTCGGTAATGCATCATCATAATGAGCTCAAAGTGACCAAGTGTTTGGTCACAGGATCATGCATTATGGTACGAGTAAAGTGACTTGCTGGTAACGAGACTGAACGAGGTATTGGGATACTGACGATCGAGTCTCGGGCTTGTAACGTACCGATTGACAAAGGGAATAGTATACAGGGTTGCTTGAATCCTCGACATCGTGGTTCATCCGATGACATCATCGAGGAGCATGTGGGAGCCAACATGGGTATCCATATCCCGCTGTTGGTTATTGACCTGAGAGCCGTCTCAGTCATGTCTGCATGTCTCCCGAACCCGTAGGTCTACACACTTAAGGTTCGGTGACGCTAGGGTTATTAGGAAGACTTGTATGTGATTACCGAATGTTGTTCGGAGTCCCGGATGAGATCCCAGACGTCACGAGGAGTTCCAGAAGGGTCCGGAGGTAAATATTTATATATGGGAAGTTGTCAAACGAACACCGGAAAGTTTCGGGGGCATATCGGTATTGTACCGGGGCCACTGGAAGGGTTCCGGGGGCCACATGGGCTGCATGGGGCAGGAGCCAACCCCTGGAGGGCTGGGCGCGCCTCCCCCCCTTGGGCCCATGCGGCTAGGGTTGGGGGGAACCCTAGAGGGGGCGCCCCCTTTGCTTGGGGGGCAAGTTCCCCCCCTGGCCGCCGCCCCCCCTCTAGATC